CGAGGGCCGCTTATCCGAGGATGAGGGACCACTCTATAGCGACTACATCAAGTATATTCGCACTCTTCCCGATGGAGAAGCTGTAAAGTACTGGAAGGATCAACTACGTGGTCTTCAGCCATGCTACTTCCCAACCATGCCTCAGCACTCTACAAAGGAGCGCGAGTTGCACTCGCTCTACCTCAAATTCAACCGATTTGCTGAGGTCCAGACACTCGCCGAGCAGAACAGCGTCACTTTCTCGAACATTATGCTCGCAGTCTGGTCTCTTGCTCTCCGCACCTTTACTGGAACTTCCGATGTGTGCTACGGTTATCTGACATCCGGAAGGAACATTCCAGTCGACAACGTCCAGAATGCAGTTGGTGCGTTCATTAATATGCTTGTGTCCCGTACACAGCTTTCTCAGAACCAGACTCTCATCGAGGTCTTCCAAAAGGTGCAGAACGACTTCATTGATAGCTTGCCTCACCAGCATGTATCGCTTGCTCAGTTCCAGCACGACCTCGGTCTCTCTGGAAAGGCGCTTTTCAACACTGCTGTCTCCGTGCAGAATCAGAGCGCAGCTGTCGAGATCGAGGAACACGTTTCCAGTATCGAATTCGAGACCTTTGATGTTCACGATCCCAGCGAGTTTGCACTGACAATCAACATCGACGCAAGCCGTAACGACGAAGGTGTTCGCTTCGCCTATTGGACCGATTCCATCTCCGATGGCGTCGCCAACAGCATCTCTACCACCATGGTCAAGATCCTAAATCAAATCCTCAAGGACACGAACCAAACCATCGCCGAACTCGATGCAGCCATCACCGACAAACCCCAAGAACACCGCCGGCTCGCCGCTCCTCGTCGCCCCAGTTTCCGATCCTTCAAGTCCTCGCCACGCTTCGAAATTCCCGAGCCCGAGTACTCTCAACCCAAGGCTCCCAGGATTGAAATCGCTGCTCCTAGAATCGAAGTCCCGATGCCGACTGGTGCTGCCGATTGGGGAAGTCTTATCAAGTCAATTGTTAGCGAGGTGGTGCCTCAGATTGTGGATCAGATGCTTGCAAAGAACAAGGGTGCCCCGACCCCGACAGCGTCTACTGTCGACAATATGACAAACCAGATGGTGGGCATGTTGACCAGGAAAGCATCTCAGTCTATCCGCCATTCGCGTCAGAATCTTGATGCTGGGTCTGTTCGCTCCAGGCGCATGAGCGTTGCCAGTGACACCGAGAGTCGAATCAATATTGCCGCTGATATGGTAGCTGCGGCTGGTGTGATGGCTACTGAAGCTTTGAAGTCTGTACCGCCAGACTTTGTGGAGAAGAAGTTGCTTACTCTCTGGAGTGAGCTGTTAGATATGGTGGAGGATTCTATTGGTACTGATGACAGTTTCTTCCAGCTAGGTGGTGATAGTATTATTGCGATGAGGCTTGTAGGAGCTGCTAGGGAGGAGGGTTTGTCTATGACGGTGGCGGATGTGTTTAAAAACCCTACTTTCGCTGACATGGCTCGGGTAAGTCGATCTCAATGTCTTTTCACGATCGTGCTGACATAATTAGGTTGTCCGCGTTGCTGGCGAGGTCATTGATCAAGTGATGTCTCAAGCTGGCGACAATACTTCTGTTAAGGATGGCGGCGCCGGTCCTTCCAAACCCAAAGTTCACGAACGAACTGTGTCTGCTTGGAGGGATTTCCAATCTATGATCTCCGATCAGCCTCATGCTGAAGAAGAGGATCGATCCCCTGAAAGAGCAGCACCAGAGCCCCGGCCGCAACAGCCAAGTCACGCCGATCAGATATTCAAGAAGTGGCAAGGCTTTGCCTCAAGTTTGGAGAGCACAAACCCGCCCCAAAGGGTTCCAAGTGTGAGACGCCAGAAACTTCACAGGCCCACCGCGGTTCATACTATCCCCGAGGATCCCAAGTCTGTTTCGCTTCTCGGCGACCCTAATGTTGACAGTGTGATCTCGAAGGTACAGGTTTTCAAGGGTGGCATTTCTGATGTCATCCCCACAACCGATTTCCAAGCTCTCGCCATCACTGGTACTCTGCTCGAGTCCAAGTGGATGCTCAACTACTTCTATCTTGACGGCAGTGGTCCTCTTGATCTCCGCAAGTTGAAGCAGACGGCATTCCGCATCGTGCAAGCCTTCGACATCCTCCGCACCGTCTTCGTCCCTTACGGAGACCGCTTCCTGCAAGTCGTGCTCCGCAAACTTCAACCCGACTTCATCTATCAAGAGACTGATCTTGATCTCGATGAGTTCACCGAGCAACTCCGACAGAAGGATCGCGAACACGGCCCTCGTCTTGGTGAAACCTTTGTCCAGTTCGTCGTTGCCAAGCAGAAGCAGAACGAGCACTATCGCATCTTCTTACGTCTCTCGCATGCTCAGTATGACGGTTTCTGTCTTCCAAAGATCCTCGGCGCCCTTCAGGCCGGATACAATGGCCTGCCAGTATCTTCCGCCCCAAGCTTTGGTAATTACGTCCGCGAATCCGCAAAGACTGTCGCAGGTGCACACGACCACTGGCGAGAGGTACTCCGAGGATCCAAGATGACTGAGATTGTCAACCGATACGGTCCTAACTATCAGCGCTCTGCTGGTAAGACGGTCACCCTCAAGCAAATGCTTACCGTTCCGACACTGTCTCACATCAACATTACTACCGCCACTGTCGTCAAGGCTGCCTGGGCTGCTACTCTAGCCCGCCTCGCAAGCAAGAACGATATTGTCTTTGGACACTTGATCTCTGGGCGTAACAGCGGTGTTACAAATGTAGAGAACATCATTGGACCCTGCATCAACGTGGTTCCCGTTCGAGTTGTGTACCGACCCGAATGGACCGTCAAGAATCTCCTCGGCTACATTCAGGATCAACAAATCGCCAATATGCCTTACGAGTCTCTCGGCTTCAGGGAGATTACGCGTAACTGCACTGACTGGCCAGACTGGACCAACTTCTCCAGCGTCGTCCAACACAATGCCAATATCCACTCGGACGATGCGACACTCCAGCTCGGCGGTATCGAATACAAGGTTGGCGCCGTAGGAACACAGGAAGACTTCGCCGACTTCGCCATCGTTTCCACCCACCGCGGAGGCGACCAACTAGAAGTCACACTCACCTATGCCCCCAGCAGCACCCTAACCTCCGAATACGCCCAAAACGTCTTCGACATGCTGTGCGCTACCACCATTACCTTCGCCGAAGACCCTTACACGCTCCTCCCCTCCCCATCCGAGCTCACTTCCGCTTCCTCCTCCACCCTCTACACCGAAAAGTCCGAAAAGAGGCCTTACGAAAAACAACCTGTTTCCCTCCCTACCGACACGGGTCTCTCCAAACACGAACTCAACACCCTCGCGACAACCCTCCGCTCTGCCTGGGAACAAATCCTCCGCGACGAGCACGGCCATCCCATCCTCCTCGAACTGAATTCCAATTTCTTCGAGCTAGGCGGCGACATCATGGGTCTCGCACAAGTTGCATCTATTCTCGATCATGAGAATTTGCGTGTGCGCGTTGAGGATTTGATCGATAAGGCGGAGTTTAATGAGCAGGTGGGGTTATTGGCAGTGGAGAGGAGAAAACAGATTGAGCGCGAAGAAATGAGTCCATGGGGAGAGAAGGGAATTTCGAGGAAAGCGAGCGAAGGCACGGTGGAGAGGAAGGAGAGTGGATTTGCGGGGTTGGCGAAGATGATGGGATTGGGGAAGAAGGGGAAGGCGGAGAAGGTTAAATAGGTGATCAAAAGGAAAGTTGGAGAAGGATGGACAAGATTGGATGTTTTGCCTTTTTTTTGTTGTACAAATTGGAAGCGTATGGCGTTGGTGGTGTTGTCGGTCGTTTCAGGCAGGATGGAGTCCCCGGCGTTGAGGAGTTCATTGCGTCTAGTCCTTTCTTGACCTTTTGGATTCTCTGAGTCTGGTTTGTTTGGGGGAGATGTCTCTTTCTTTATGATTTTCGTTTGTTGGTGGGGTTTTTCTTTGGTACATGGTAGAATCTCTTACGTAGTTAATATCGTCCTACTTCATCCTCTTTTTTCTGGTGCAGTGCTTTTGGAGTGCAAGTCGTACGAGCGACGTTCCACGACTTCGTCATTCTATAGCAAACCTACTAGCAGCCACACACCAATCTGGATTACAAACAACTCACTTCTCTCCTTCCTCAATCCTCCCACCTCCCAACATTTTCTTTGCTTTTCTTCCATCGCACTCTTCCCACCCCAAACCCCATCTCGACAAAATTCAAGCAGAAGAGGATGCATTTCACTAGCAAATAATCCTTCCGTCCATGATAAAATAACAAGGAGTTGTCGGTTCATTTGCGGAAATAGTTGAACCTCTCTACCGCAGAGGGATCGGATACCCGAGTTTGATTCTTGGTGTCCTACTTGATGATGATTTTGGCTTAGGTAGTGGGGAGGGAAAGGGAGCGAAATAGTTAGTTGATATAGATGCATCAGTGGTGAAAGGGTTGTGTGGATGTGGAGGAAGATGTACAGTAGTGTTGAATTATGATATCGAAGCAATGCAATGGGAATTTCCAGGGTTAGTAACTCGGTTTTATTTGGTAATGTCTATACTCAATCGATATTTAGTCCGACTATGGATATGAGATTTCTGGATGCTGATCCCAAAACAACAAACTAGGGACTTATTGTTTGTTTGCTTCTACATAGTAAGTATTTAAGAGTTAGATTCAGGAAAGGTACCATCCGACAGAATTCAGACCTCTAGTGACTATAGAACCATATCCGAAACAATAAAAGTAGTTTTATAGCTCTTGATGCATGTGCAAATTGCATCGTTCCTGTTGTTCAAATTTCCATCATTTACTTGCCCTCCTTGAGCCGTTTGCTCTACCATTTCTCTCTCTTCCTAAAGTAGTTTTCCATACCGCCTTTTCGTATCTCTCCTTAGGTAATGTCCCCGTCGCCTCCCTCCACTTTCTCCAGCAGCATAACCTTTCCTATCCCCAAACTCTCTATCAATCACTTTCATGGAGATGTAGTTCAGTGGTAGAACAACTTGTCAACAGGGCCGCCACCCCTAATGGGATGGGTCTGGTCTGGCAAGGTTAGACCTAGCGTTCGATTCCTAGCGTCTCCCTCTACAATTTCTTTGTTCCTGGTTCTCTGGAGTGAACTTCTCTCACTTTGTACTTTTGAAGAAATAAAAGGTATACAGCGATAAGTGAACATCCTGTAAATTTACTATCCTAATAGCCTTTCTCGCTACTAAATTCTCTATCAGAACCTTTTCTGGGAGAAGTAGTTTAGTGGGAAAACAGCGAATGTTATGACGGCTGGGAACGCCCGATCGAACCTCAAATGTTGTGAAGTTGCCATTTGGATTCTGGACGTCTTCTCTTTTTACTATTTTTTGGAAGAGTTTGCTCTTTTTTCTTGTGTCAAAAAGGGGAAAACTATGTAGTAGTAAATAGAAATCCCTGTATTTTGTACCTATGTTATTCACTTTCCTGTGTCTAAATTCAATACAATGTTTCTCAAGATATAGAAGAGAGTAAATACGCAATTCTATGTGTAAGTAGCTTCATAGGCTAAGTAACTAAAGCAAGTATACATATTTATAATTTATCAGTAGTAGTATTTGATAGGTTCTTGTTTGTTAGAGGATCGTGCGACGGGGAGTGGGTAAGGTAGAGATATTTGCTCGTGGATGTTGTGCACGAGGAAAGTGATTCTGAGAGGAGTGATACATTATTGTTCAGTGTAGATTCTCTTGGCTCATGTTGCTCTGAAATTATTTCCTATCCAAACAACCTCTCCAAGCTTCCATTAGCCAAAATCTCTCAGCATTGAAGACACCTGGTCCAACGAGGACAGGATCTCGATATCCTTGTGTTCGCTTCTGAGAATAATATCCATCAATACAACATGCCATATAATCTTCTGCGCAAGTTTCTCTTATCTTCTCTTTTGTATTCAATGAACCCTTCGCAACGTTGTGCAAAATCTCAATACACCGACTGTTTCAATATTTAGATCACATTCCCCCACGCAAGTGACCTTACGGCCACCCAAAACCACCCCACCTTTTCAGGCCACCCCTTTCTATCTCTCTACATCATCCCCCTCGCCGCTTCAACTATTTAACGCTTCCAAGCCCTCTTTCCTCCATCAACACCAGCACACGTCACACGGGGATGTAGTTCAGTGGTAGAGCAGCCATAGTAGCACCCTCCCGGGATACGAGAGTTCTCGCTCGAAAAGAGGTGTCTCAAGGCAAACCCTAGTTCGATTCTAGGCATCCCCCTATTTTTTTTTCCTTATTCCGTTGGTGGAATTCTTTTGTTATGGCTGATGTTCGAAATAAGAAAAAGGCGGTGCGGGAGAGGATTGCGACAAGGAAGACGGAATACAGGTGCGCATGTTTGTTGTTACAAAGATGACGTTTATATGTGATACAAACCAAACCCGCATCCGTTACATCGGTAACACAACGCCCTCATATTCCCTCCTCTCCCTCAACTGTTTCCCAACTCTTCCCTGTCCCCTTCATTTCATTCCAAGATCTCCCGTAACCACTCACTCATCTCCCAGACCTCGCCTCATAAAGTTCATAGATTTGTGAGTAAATTTTTAATAGAAGAACTAATTGCTGTTTTAAGCACTCATTTCAATATCTTCAACACCCACTCACTATGACTCACTTCTATATCTTCCAAGGACCATCAAACTTCAATAACATCGCAACGAAATCATTCCGTAGGAACATAGCCCAGTACTCCGAGCACTTGTGACTTTCAAAGTTATCTCAGACTTCGCCATCCCAAGCCCTATCCAACAATTCTCCGATATATCTGATCCCCAATGCCACCCATCCCCATGTTCCACCGCCCCTTTGGCCCAAGCTCTTCCCTTCTCACCGCTCCAGCGAAAGCCCCAACCCTCCACCGGCACAAGCTTTCCCCTCATAAAACACCCCCCTCTCTCACCCCCACTCCACCTATCAACCACCTATAAATCCCTTCGCAACCCGGCATCCCTCAAAACTCACACCACCAAAGCTCTATAGCTCAACGGTAAATACCCCCTCCTCCTACCCTCCTCTCCCTGCACAGTAACACACGGGGATATAGTTTAGTGGCAGAACAATTGATTAACCCTAGTTCGATTCTAGGTGTCCTCCATTTTTGTTTTTTGCTTTTGTGTTTGTATTTTTGATAATGAAGACATTTTGTAAAATGGTGAGGGATATGATGGACGTATGCATAACATGGGAGGAGAGGAAAGGAAAGTAGGATAGGAATGGGAACAAGAATAATTGACATAGGATATATTTTCCAACACACTAGCAGGGGTCAAGTGAAAGTTCGTCTCACGTGACTGTCTCAGCCTATTCATCAACAGCGAGCTGATAATAATAATAGTACAACAAGCAACAACGCCAACACAAAAGAAAACTCCACTAGATCACCAACCCAAAAAACTCCATCCCATCCCAAAAAACCCTTATCCGCTCTCACTACCTCACAAAATCCTAAACTCCCCACTAACCCCCTCAAACGCACTAATCTTTCCCCCAACCGCCTTACTATCTCCATAATACCTCACGCGATACGTCCCCGCCCCCGGAGCCGCAATCCCCGTATCCCACGTAATTGTCACATCACTCGTGCCCGTGAGCCCATTGACTCGTTTCCACTGGAACACAAGTTCCCAATCCGCATCATTACGAATCTGTTTCCATGTCCCGTCCGCAGACTTCTGTTCGACGGATGTGTACGTGCCTTCGAGACGGAGATTGTTGCGGGGGTTTGCACCAACGAAAGTGACGCTTACTGTTGAACCCGACGCATAGGTGGGCGATACGTCTTTCTGGACTTGGCCATATTTTTTGCCGAGTGGAGCGCCATCGTAGACGACCCCCGTTATGAGGGAGATGCTGCGGTTACGGTTGTCTGGAGGCGCGGGGCCGGCTGGAGCGGTGCTTTGGGTGTTGTCCGCAAGGTAGGGGAGGAGGGTGAGGGTGGAGTTGATGTAGGCGTTGAGAGTGTGGGGGCCGTACAGAGTTGAGGCGCCTTCGTAGCGCTGGATATTGTATTCTTCTTCGGTGGTGATGTAGTGAGTGTAAGTGTTCGCTGGGCCTCCAATGACAACGATTGGAGGAGTCGCGGACGAGACAATGTTTGCGGAAACTGCTTTGTTATGGACAGCTTCGCGCCATCGGCGGCCAGACATAGTCGTGGCTTCACCGGGAGAAACAACGATGAGGAACTGGCCAACGCGGAGGACTTGAATATCGACAATGTTGGGTGACCAATCGTAAGGAACCTTGGCCTGGCCCACGTTCAGTAGAATGGGCTTTGGCCACTGGCACTGCTTCTGTTCCGGCCCTGGTGGTGAGATGGCGCCTCCAACAACATTCCAGAAAGGATTGCTAGGAGCTCCGGGATCGTTTTGCACGAAATCGAAAGCTCCAGGGCCATCGGAGGTTCCAGCCGCGAACGAGTTTCCAAGCGCAGCTGGACATGTACGAGCCGTAGTGCCGTTTGGCAAGATGAAGGTGTAGTTGGAAAAGTCAACGAACGTGTGAAAAGATCGAACGCTGCCAGTGATGGACGTCGAATCGCCATTGAAAATGCCCAAGGCACCCTCGTACTGTCGTTTTCCAATCTCGAAGCAAGATTTGACGCCTCCGTCATTTAGGCCAAAGAACGGACCTCGTCCATGGCAGTCTTGTGATTTTCCACCACATGTGCTGTCCTCAAGCTTGCATTCTTGATTCGATCCATCCTCGCAATACGCACCATTGACATTGGGTGTAGTATCGCCAACATTCGACTGCGAGAACCCGGCAACAAAACCCGGTGCAGTATTCAACGCAGCATTAGCTGCCGCCTCCTTCTCGAACAGACCAGCAGCCACACCCTTATTGTCCGCAGCAACGATGGTTTGGTTTCCAAGGAGCGATGTTCCATGGACGGCAAACCAGTTCAAGATACCAATGTGCTTTCCATCGCTCAGTCTCGTAAACTTCAGCAAAGTCATGGTCTTGTCCACATTGTCCGTGTACCGGTCCCGTTCCTCTTTCGGGTTGGCGAGGTAGGCATACAAGCTTCGGTTGATGTTGGCGTTGGAGATCTTTGCCGATCCCGAACTGATAGTGCCGATTGTGAGCCCCTCGTGCGCACGTTTGATTGACAGCAACGCGCCATCTACGATGGCCTGGTAACTCTGCTTGTCGAATCCCAAGCTTGTGATTTGAGGGAGGAGATAGTTCAACCAGGCGCCCGGCCCTGCATGGCTGTGGGTGCCTGTCACGGCCACGTTTTTCTTGGTGTAGACCGAGTACGCGGCGCCCGAGCTCTGAAGCCCCTCCAAGATGCCATTCCGGATCGCGGTGTCGCCGGACTGGGTGTCCAGCACCAGATAGACGAAGCGGTCGTTCGGGTTGCTCGGACTGCCTACAATGAAGGCACGGGAATAGAGGCGCTGACGAAGTCCGGAGCCTACTTGCGACGAGTTGGCATAGCCCATCAGGTTGAGCTCAACAACGGGACTGGGTCATGGTCAGCGAAACGTCTCAACTTGGGATGCAGCCAGCACAAACGTACCCAGTGATATCAGCTTTCCCCACTCCAATGAGGTATTGCGAAGGGTCCTGCACATTCTCGCCAGCCTGTTTGCCGTTGAAAAGATGTGTTTGGGAATGATCGTGGCGATACTGGTCCATCCGCCAGTGCCAAAAATCAACCTGAGGGAACCCCAAGCTGACGACCAGCTGGGAAACGATAAGCAGGGCAGCTACGGCGGCGGCAAGGGCCACGGCAACATGGGATCGTGCCATTGTCGCAAACGGAGCTCAAAAATATTGTTGGAGACGTGGTGCGGAGTGCGGCGGAACATCTGGTATCTGGTGGATGGTGGCGGAAAGATATACCGGGGCGATAGTGGCACATGGGAAAGTCAGAACAGGATCCAGGGCGCGAAAGCGCGACAGCGCGAATTGGACCAGCCAGTCGCGTGGATAAAACAGCTCTGATGGGAAGGTGCACCGCCAGCTAGGGGGTCGAGCAAGGCAATAATTCAATATAGGCGACTTGGTTGGGTCGAAAATGGGAGTTTTGACATGGTGAAAGGTGCAGGCGTGAACAGGCTGTGTGTGCTACCCCAGCTTTCTCGACGGGTGCAAATACGGCGCATGACGTGGTTTAGCGTCTCGTCTCGTCTCGTCTCTCGCGAAGGCTGCCCAGATGCTTGGTTCCCGCGCGTGCACGTGCCACCGAGGCAGGGGAACACGCCCGTTAGTCTCTGCAAAAGGCTGCTCTGGTCCCTCTTCAGAGGTGAACTCTCTTCTCCCACAATCTCCCCCCACTGCAACCCCCCTACCGCCATAATGCCACTAATCCACGAATCCTATGACTCCCTCCCCTGTACGTGCAATCTATCTACTCCATTGAATTTCCCCTCCTTTAGTCCTGAACCTATCCAATGTCCGGCGCCCAGCGCAGCCCTCTGCAGCTGGCTATCTTTGGCTATACCAAACCAATCCAATTCACTAATCCACCACTGCTAGATGTCGACGCCCCTCCAACCGACCACGCCCTCGCTGCTGCTCGCGCTGTCATAGACGCCGACATCAAGTCTGCCGGAATCGATCAGTCCCAGCTTCACCCGGCTCTCATCCCCGCGGCCGCATACACGCCCAACTTCTCAGACCTTATAGAGCAGGAGCACGCGCGCCTCCTGACCGACCCTACGTCCAAACTCTCCGCTATCGACCTCAAGCGTTATCAAGACCCGGACGCACCACCAAACACAGACCCCACCTCCGATGAGGATAGACCCGAGATACTTGCGAAGTGGGAGAAGGCGCTCAAGGCGGCGTACGTGAACTCGGAGTATCTCAACGGTCGGATAACAGAGCTGGGCTTGCTAGAGAAATTTGGCAAGAATGCCTGGCTGATTGGGAACTCGCAACTAGAGGACATACTAAAGAACATCGAAGCGGAATTAGCCGTGGTAAGGAAACAACAGGAAGAGGTTGAGATTCTGCGCCGGTCACAACAGGAGGTTGTCCAAGGAGAGATCGTTACGTTGGAGAAGGCCTGGAAGGAGGGAATTGGCCGCGTGATTGAGGCCGAGGTAGCGGCCGAGGGACTGAAACAACAGATATTGGAGAAGAGAAGAGCCGGCGCAGTTTGAGTATTGCATCTTCGTGGACCCAAATCACAGCAGCAGCGCGAGACATAGATGATGAAGATACCCAAAAGCAAACCATGGATTACATTCTTGGATCCAAGTCTAAGC